GGCCCCCCCCCCCGGGGGGGGGGGGGGGTAACACATGTGGCCAAAACGCTCTTGCACAGTCTCCCTAATGGTAACGTGACACGCTACCTTCTCCGCAGCTCTTCTGAGGTGGTGTCGCTTCAAACACCTTCTCTGTGCTAGCGAAGGGCATTATCCATCGATAATACAGAACTGTTCAGTGGCAGAAAACAACCCCATAGAACGAGATGGTGCACAACGCATAAACTAATCAGGGAACTACCGGGTTCTGCTACATCACCTCCTCAAGCTACCATACCCAGCTGTCATTTCGTGTGTGTCTTCGCTTTTCAGGTCTTCCCAAGTCCGACCCTGGCCACTGGTGGGCGAGCTTCTTCTTTGGCAAGCCAACCCATCCAGTCATGACAACTGTGTCGGAGTCCCCAGAGAAGTAAGTGGTCTTGCTGCTGCTCATGCAGAGCCTGGGAATGGAGTGAAACTCCGATGCTTAAGGGTAGCTTTGAAGATGGCAGTGGAGATGGGCGGGGAGGGCTGCACTGTGGAGGAACTTGTAATAAAAACTTCTGCTTGAGTGTGTTCTGCCCGGCATGTCGAAGACTTTCCAGGTGGTATGGGAAGCTGAATAATCCACCCATAAGCTAAGAGCTAATAGAGGCAAAAGGACTCACTAACCTAATTTTCCTTGGAGAACCAATAGCATTGTCACTCATTAATAAGAGGAGGCTCTAGGACAGGGGAGGGCAAAACATGGACTGTGGGCCGGCCACTGTCCTGCTGCCGAATTGCTCATTTGGCCAGGCAGTGCTGCCTGATCTGTGGTAGCCAGTGTTCCCTGTGAGCTTGGAGAGAGAGAGAGTCTAATGTCACCCCACTGACTAGCAAAGCACCCACAGTTAGGCTTGTGGTGTTCCTTATGGTGCACATTCAAACATGCCGTGGTGTACACAACAAAATTTATTCTGCACATGGATGGGAAAAGATTGGAGGGAACATCAGTGATGGTTGGGTCTGAGAGCTTCTGGACTAAGAATCTCCCTAAAAGTCTGTCCTGGGGTCACTGATGGAGCATAAACAATGAGCTGTAATGACAGCAGGGAGCTGCAATTGCACCAGCTGCTGTCAGAGATGGGGTGGGGGTGTGTGTGTGTGTGTGTGTGTGTGTGTGTGTGGTGTTGCCGCCATTCATCCTGTGCCTCGCCCTCTTGTCTTTCAGTTCAGGAACTTTCCAGGTGGCCCACGGCATGATCACTTGTGGCCTGGCTCAGGAAGTGATGAGGAAGCGCCACGCCAGTGAACCTAGCAAACCGAATGCTGGGCCATCTGCGTGAACAGGCCGGCGCGTCTTCCTGCTGCCCGCCTGGCTGCTGCTTCTGATCCAAACGCTAGGCGTCAGAGCCCATTTTCCACTCCCCCTCCCCGTAGAGTAGACAGGCTGCCTTAAGTATTTAGACGTAGGTTTTTAAAAAAACAAAAAACAACAAAAAAGTTTCTACACTGCCTTTGTACCGTTTCATTAACTTGACTGCGTTCTTTCCATCCAGCCTTGGTAACGCTTTTGTTTACTTCTTCAATGGAAACCAATAAACTTAAGCAGCCTTTTAAATGCTGTGTGGTTTTGAGTCTCTCTTGGGAGCTTCCTGCTCTCTGCAGGAAGTTACTAGCCTGTCTTGGAGGAGTGGTTGCTAGTTGAGATGTAAAATCCTGTTTAATAGTTAACCAGTTAAAGTTTGGGAGGGGCGGGGGTGTGCACCAGCCTCTGTTCGGTAAGTCTCACCTGTATGGGTTACAGTTAACCAGTTGCATCCCTAGTTGCTAGCACCATGCCTGGGGGTGTGTCTCATATGGGTTGGGGGCTTCATGCAAAATGGATTTCACCCTAAGTCAGTTTCTCTTCAATCTTGGGGATAAGGAGGGATGCTCTTCTAAGAACCACAGCTGCTCACAAAGTGACAGCATGCTTGACAAACCACAGCTCCGGTTTCGGCTCAAACCTTTTCCCTGGAATGGTGAACATGCTCGATCAAGGCTATGGTGCCCCTTGGCTACCTCCCATAGTGGCCAGCTGTCTCACTGGGTTGTTCTTTATTCCCACCCCCAGGTGTACTGGGGAAAACGTCCCTCACCTTGCACAAGGCGGAGGTGGGATGAAGGCCCTGCTATCGGGGTTCGGGGTAGCATAATATACTCTCGTCACTTTTCAAGGCCACTTCACTCTATTGAGGGAATTACGCTTTTTCCTTCCTTGTCTGTGATGAGGCAAAGAACAGAAATTCCTGATTTGGTTCTAGCAGTAGCCTATTCTCTGCAAGCCCTGTCCTAAAATTCGACTTAGTGTAGATGTAACATACAGAGCTCAACGCTCTGCAGATCAATCTTCTAGCATTTGATTTAGCAGGTCTAGTGCAGGACCCCCAAAATTGAACGCTGAGGGCAGCTCCTGGTGGTGTCCTGTCATCAGTGAGAGAAGCTGACAGGTAGATGAGCTTCCTTTGGCCTGCAGAGTAGAACCATGGTGGTTTGGCTTACTGCCGAATCCAGCTATGCATTTTGCTTAGCTGGATGGAGGACCTTAAGCCGACCTGCCTGTTCTAGCATAGAGCAAGCCTTTGGTTATCTGTGTCTGCCATTTGAGTCTCTCCTGCAAGTCTGGAAGTGAAGCAGCCCAGGTCTTAATGTTGAGTCTCTCCTGCAAGTCTGGAAGTGAAGCAGCCTAGGTCTAGCCTCAGCTACTGGAAGATCTAGGTGAACGTTCTACAGCAATTAAAATGAAGACCAATATAGGCTGCAATGCAATGAAAAGCTACTGAACAGGCTGCATGTGTCATAGCTAAGAAAATACAGCCCAATGCATGTCATGGCCTTTTTCTTTTAGTTACTATTTTCCAGACACACAATGGTGCCTATCTGCACAAAATGCTTGTTCAATCAGCAGCTGTACATGTCACTTGCTGCTCCAGGGAGAAACGTTAGCACACCTCTGAAGTACAGATCGTGTGTTTGGTTTAAAAAAAGCCCTGGCACCAAAGTGCTTGGTGCATATTCTGACATCCCTGTAAACCTCTTTTGTTGCTTTCGAAATGTTTGTAGCAAACTCTCAAACCACTACCGTGGCTGTTGTGTCTTAAGCAGGGCAGCTGTTCAAAATATCGAAGTTGGGTTTTAGAAAAGGATTCCAGCTGGCCGGAGCAAGAAGTTGCTCTTATTTGAGCAGGTTTTTTTCTCACAGAACAACAAGTAGCTCCTAATTTTGTAGTACATTATTTCTTATCTAGAGGGGAGGGGGAAGGGGGGGCTGGGTGTTACAGCAATGTGGTCCTTTCATGGCATGGCCTTACTGGCTCAATTTTTTTTATCCATTCCCCCTGTTGGAAACCCATGAAGCAGTCTGATTCAAAGACCTTGGTCTGTTCCTCTTAGCCAGCTAATGTCACTATTCCTGTGTGACATGCCTGATCGATTGTCTGCATGTATGTGGGTCAGACAAGCTCGCCTGCAGATGAGATACACTGGTTTGATCAGGTTTATGCAGGTCCATTGAGGTGTGTCTACACTGCCCCTGTAGCTCAAAATGAATTAAGCAATTTGAGCTATGCCAATTGCATAGCTTATTTTGTAACTTGGCATGGTCTACCCAGTGCCACATTTTGAAAACTCACTATTCTGAACCATCCCTTGCTCCTTGTGGAATGAGGTTTACAGGGATGTCAGAAGAGCAAGCCAGTTATATTTTGAAATGAATGGGCTTGCTGTTAAGACACAGGATGGCTCGAAACAGCGCTGCAGCATAGATGTAGCCTGGGTGGCAAAATAGTCCAGCTCTAATAGAGCTTGCAGAGGAAAGTCAGGGCTTTCTCACAACAGGAAGGCATTGTGAGCTATGAAGGCTTACTGACACACTGGAAGGGCCACAGATATTGCTGGACCAGATTGCTCTGGCTGGCCAAGTTCAGAGGCTGGGGCTGGCATGATGGGGAACAAAACAGACAGGGTGGGAGGTAGCGGTGCTGTAGCCGGGAGCCAGGCCAACAGCCAGCAGGGGAGCTTAGACCTTCCCTGGCCCGGCAAACTTGTTTGGAACTGCTCAAGTCCCAAGGGTGTCAGACCAGGAAGGTCCCACCTGTAGATGTGGAGGAGGCTTGTGCTCAACAGACTTACTCCACACAAGCATTTCTCCATCTTCGCCATGGGCTGGACTGACAGGCAGCAATTGATCCACCAGGGGTCAATTTATTGTCTAAATCAGTGGTCGCCAACCCTTTTACGCATGAGATCACTTCTTGAATTTACATGCAATCCAAGATCTACCTCAAACCCCAATACCCTTGCCCTGCTTCCTTGTGCCCCTTCTCCGAGGCCCTGCCCCTGTTCACCCCATCCTCCCTCACTTTCACCAAGCAAGGGCAGCAGAGTGGGGTGCTGGCTCTGATCTTGGATTAAGGGATTTGGAGTGCAGAAAGGGTTCTGAGCTGAGCTTGGGCCACTGGGATGCTGGAGGGGGTTTAGATGCAGGGGTGTGCGGGGCTAGGGCAGAGACTTGGGATGCAGGAGGGGTTCATGACGGCTAGGGTTTCAGGATGTGGGCTCCGAATCTTCCCTCAAGTGGTTTCGGGGTGATGGGGCTAAGGCAGGCCTAGCCCTGGCCCTGCACCGCTCAAAAGCAGCCAACAAACTCCCTCCCACGTCCTGTTGTGCCTCCTCTCTGCTCAGTGGAGATAGGATACAGGATGGGAGAGGGGGCACCTTGACATCAGCACCCCCCCCCCTGCCCAGCAAGCAGGAGGCTCCCAGGGATGGAGGGGAGGCAGCTCCAAGGCAAAGAGCAGGAGATGCTCAGCAGTGGGGAGAAGGGCAGCTGAGGTGCCAGCACTTGACAGCCTCTTGGCCAAACCAGTCAGGATCCCCCGTCAGAGACTCCAAGATCTACCGGTAGATCCCCATCAACTGGTTGGTGACCGCTGGTCTAAATCAAGCCCTTCCGTTGACTCTAAGGCTCCCCCAAAATGAGACGAGTAAGCCGAATTGATGGGAGAGCATCGATGGTTGTCCTGCTGCGGATACCCTGCAGTCAGTGGACCCAAGTACGTTGCCTTCCACGAGGTTATTTGCGTCCCGAATCGAGGAAACTTAGGCTGACAGTCTGTGGTAGTGTAGACAGGCCCTCAAAAGCAACATTAGGGCTGTAAGCCTTGGGCTAGTGAGCCCCTGATGCGGTGACTGGCTTAACTGATCTTCAGTCACAGCCAAGTGTATGTTATAAACAAACACACTCATCGGTGACTCATGCCGGCGTCTGTAGCATGGAGGTTCACATTTAAGGAAGTGTTTCTGGAAGTGGTTTCACAAGGCACTGATCAGACAGTTCTGCGAGGCAGGCTTGCTTTAGTCTGTACACCCAGCAGGCTCTTTGGGACTAGTGCAAAATGAGTGACTAGAAGCCGAAATCCCAACTACAGTCAGCAAACAGAAAAAATAAGGAACCAGCCGTCAGCCCTTTGCATAGCTTGTGTATGACCGCAGAGGAGTATTGATTCATAACATGTGGTAAGGTGTCCAAAAGGGCTTGTTTTGCACTGGAACGGTTGTGTAATCCATGGCACTCCAAGAACAGTTAATCAGTATTTGTTCTTTTATCACTGTTGCTGTTTTGGGACACACAAATCTTTCCTTAATTAGATACAGGTTAGCAAGATCCAGTCCAAATGTAAGATCGACACTTCTCTGTCTTGTAACTGATCCGGGCCTGATTTTTTGCTTTTGCATTTTTAACTATTGGGGGGGGGGGCTTTTATTGTGGCTAAGCCTAGACAACCCCATGGGTACTCAGTTACAGAAAGGCTGAGAGCTCAAAGAAATGCGTAAAATTGGAAGAGAACATAATCAACAGGGTTTATTCTCCTATTTTACTATCCAGGCTTGTTTGTGGCAAGGAGCTCCTGCTCTTTGTGGGAGGACATGAAGCTCTTGATTAGAAACAAATGTTGAAATGGAACTGTACGTACACACTGAGTCAGAGCCTCTATTGTGAATAGGCTCCATTGAAAGTTAGTGACTTAGGCAATGTCTAGACTACGTTTCTTTTTCAAAAGAGGACGCACAGAAACTAGCATGGTTGTCTCTAAACTACATTCCTCTTTCGAAAGAGGAAGATAAATTAGGCAAATCGAAAGCGCAAATGAAGCACGGATTTAAATATCCTGTGCTTTATTTGCATATTCACATCCAAGCGCTTTTTCGAAAGAGTTTTTCGAAAGTGAAAGTGAAGTCTAGACATGGTTCTTTCGGGGGAAAAAAACCCTTTTTCGAAAGAACCCGTACTCCTGAAAAAATGAGGAGTACGGGTTCTTTCGAAAGGTTTTTTTTTCGAAAGAGCCATGTCTAGAATGCACTTTCACTTTCGAAAAACCCTTTTTCGAAAAAAGTACTCGAGGCGAATAAGCAAATGAAACAGCATATTTAAATCTGCACTTCATTTGCACTTTCAATTTGCCTAATTTACCTTCCTTTTTCGAAAGAGGAATGTAGTTTAGATGTGCCCATAGATCAATACATCAATATCCTGTTGGGCTAGGCAGAGAGGACCATGCTAGTTTCTGTGCGTCACAA